TTTATGCATTTATCGTTGTCACGTGACACTTCAGCGATTACTTTAATAAAGAAAATACTCTCCTGCCAGAGTTAGAGGCACGAAGACTGGCTCGCCACGGTCTGTAATTAGAGGCGTCCTAATTGCGGTGAAGTGCTTCATATTTAGAGGGATGATGTCTTGGGGTTACACCTGACATTTTGAGAAATATATAATAGAGAACATAATCAGATAGATTATGTTTGAAGCTACACAATGATGGTTGGTTCCTATCATCTCACCGTTGCAGTTTCTACGACATTCTGAAATTGAGACAAAAATGCTCGGGGTAACAAGTTTGCGATTTTGTAGAAAAAGAACCAAAAAAGCTAAACATAATTTTCTTCTTTCAGAAAATAGTCCGTAATCGTCTTGAAAAGTATAAAAGTATATTATCAGCATGAAATAACTCATCAGTTTGTAAACAACGGCCAAATTCGTGAAAAAATCAAATCGAATTTTTAACGCTTCTTACCGAGGCGCACGTTAGATCTTTTTTTTTTTTTTTGTCTGTATTGCAGCTTGGAGTTAACAATATAATTTTTTAACGCGCAGTTTCGTTCATTCTAGGACTTAAACTATTACATATATTGGTCTTTAAAAAAAGTTTGAATTTTTGTGTTTGAGTTTAGGACACGAAAATTAAACGGGTAGAATATTCTTGAAATTGAATGCTCATAAGCTACTTAATACGCCAAGTTTCGCGATTTTTAGAGCTCTAGGGCAGTGGTTCTCAACCATCGATGTTTTGGGGAACCCTTATGGATCGGCGGAGATGATGGAGGACCCCGTTCGGGGTGAGGGGAGGAGGAAGGTATAGGTTAAATATAATAATAATTGAATAAATGGATTTAAGTAAGGGCTAGTGTAAAGTAGAGCTTTCTTATTGACATGCACACGAGGAAACTCGCCCAAAAACTGAAACATTTCTTCTCGACCTGGAAAAAAATCTTATTGCCGGGCTTAGCTTATGAACGCGGACCTCTAGAGTGCCTACGCGGACCCCGAAGGGTCCGCGGACCCCCATTTGAGAACCGCTGCTCTAGGGTAATTGCACTAATCAGTTTACGAATGTTGATCGTTTTCATCTGGCGACCAGGCAACTTAGTCGCACCAAGGTACCCATAAACCGCGTGATCATGAACGCTCTCTCATTCTAGGCGCCTCCGTGATCGCCCAAGCTCGCCCCGTCACGTGGTTCGATCAAAACCTCCCACGAAACTCGGCAACTCCTACGCTACTCTCGCTCTCGCCCCTTTGACCTTCCACCCTGCATGCCCCTGCGAGATCGTCACGGAGGACGGTGACCACGGCGAGTTCGTCCGTGGCACTCTCGTCGTCGCTGGAGCTGGTCGCCAGCGGTTCGCGGTCAAAATGACCAGCTTCCAACAACTCTCGATAACAATCACTCTCATCACTGCTGCGATCAGTGTCGAAGACTTCGACGAAGCGAGCGATGCCGCAGACGCAATCGTCACGAACCGCAGGCTCGAAACGCGGAAGCTGAAGCTCGAGACGCCGAGAGAGCCCAGTCTGTGAGTGCCTGCAAGGGGACACCGCGCGTTGGGCGGATGACGTCACCGACCCAACAATCGCGGCGACCGCGGTGGCCTTTTCGAATGGGGCGGATCAGAGTGCCCCACTGCCAGGGCCGTAACCAGGGGGGGGGATAGGGGGTTCTGACCCCCCCCGAAATTTTTTTCTGGGTACGGCCCTGGTCGGTGCACTTGCAGCCAGCCGATTTTAATCTCCACCTCTGCACACACGCAGTGGCGCCGGTCGGCTACCGGGTACCAAACCGGGACCGGTTCTCCGGTTTGCTATAACTCTCCATTGTATGCCACCGATGCACATGATTCATAGGCGAAAATAAGACAACAGACATTTTCAAAATGGCCGCCGTTGTCCCCGAAACCCCCCCCCCCCCCCCCCCCCCCCCCGAAATTTTTTTCTGGGTACGGCCCTGCCCACTGCCACGTAGAAATCGATTTATACACGAAATTATCGCGCCATTTTCAAAACAAATGTAGCTGAGATATGGTACCGTACCATGGGTCCTATAGCTGCGTAGTTATCTTATATTTTATTTTTGGCGTGTCGGAACCCCTCATTTCAAGTATATTCGAGTAATACACGCTTTTTGATCGTAAAATAGGTGCTGTTGCATATGGAACACTTTTCATTTTTGAAAGGCGTGGAAAAGAGTGCCATCAAACAGCTTTAGCAGACGGAGGTGGGTTTAGCAACTATGCAAATAATTATGGCCCGTACCGATGCCTTTTACTTGGAGGTACATTCCTTGAACTAAGAAATGTGTTACGCGAAATGTCGGCTACAACAGAGCAACATTCAGTTGTAACCTTCGTGATTGCGGACACGGTCACGTGCGAATGAATGTCTCTGAATTCTCCAGTGTATAAAGGCGATGGAGTCCCCAAGCCAGGGTCGTGATTCTTCTCCCGTGAGTGATTCGTTGCGTCTGCGTTCACTGTGCATGCGGTATGATCTGCTCGTAAACAAAAATATCCTTAAAGAACGAAGACCAGTTCTCGCTTTCCACTTTTCCCTCGCTTCCTCTTCTCCCCCTTCTACCCCGTCCACCGTTGCCTGTTTCCTCCTACCCCATGGTGAGGAGGATCTTCTGCCTTGCAGAATCTCGAGCGTGGTCCTCGGCCTTTAAGAGGCTGCATCCTATTTTTAGGGTGTCGACAGCACTCTAACGGTGTTCAGTAACACCCTTAGTGTATTATTCCTTTCCTGGAAGGAGCTGATTGACACCCTTAGGGTGTAATTTTTTTAGTACATGTTAGCTGCTCCTCCGCGTTGTTCCAGCTCGAAGCTTTCTTACAGTAAAAGCTATTGGTGCAGGCGATAATTATTTGACGCAGTCGCTAATACAACCTCGTTGCGTTTCCAAGGAGGTATGTTGTCGCTTTCCCGCACTGCACTGTTTTCGCACCCTTTCGAGCAAATGGGGGCTTTGAGGGTGTGTTATGCAAATGATGCTGAAAGGCTGTAGCGACGGCTGCGAATCGTCGGTCGGGACACTCTTTTAACTCCCAGGAGGCTGTAAAAAGATTGATGTGGGGCATACACAAGGAGAAAAGCTGCTTCTCCGCAGTGCGCCCCGTGAAAACGTAGTAAAACGCCAAGACCTCATGAACCTTCTGAGAGACAGAGGACTCTCAGACCGTCTGTGAAAGGTCGTGTACAGAAAAGCGAAGCAATGTTTTCTTCCTGGGGGCCCCCATTCCTTACCCCGAGCTGTAAGTGCCTTGTCCCGTGGCATCTCTCCCTGCATACCCACTTTCTGTTGACTTCAGCACAAGAGGAAGAGGGTGGATAAGTACAAGCACTGTACAAATAATGAATAATAGGGCGCTGTCAATATAAACAGACCGATAGGTCTCTACTCTTCGAACTGGAGGCACTGGTTCAACGCGATAGAGGAACAATTTGTACAGTGAGCTATAGGGATTATCTCTGGGCTCTGCAGTGCAGGATTTAAACCCGCAACTGTCGATCCGTAGTGAGGCACTCGCGTCGGAAACACCGAGTCAAGGGCCAGGTCCCAGTGATCTAGAGATGGCGTGGGTTATAGGCATCTGCGAATTTACTAGACGTACCCGCCAGGTGTCAAGGAAGAGCCGAATACGCTGTATACTCTGCTATCTCCCAACCGGGACACGTACCGTGGAGGGGGGCATGGCATGTGACCGATGGTCCCCGTCACATATTCTCGGCCCTCCAACCAACAGGTCGATGGCGCAGGAGATAAACGATGACTGCTTACCCTAACACAACTCGCAAGAGAGAGCAGGAGAGAGTATCAAACATTAGTGATAACGCGCGCGCGCGCGTGCACGCACGCACGCACGCACGCGCGCATACCACCTCGGCGTCTGGGAGGCGGTCACGACGTGCTGAGAACCAAACAATCTGCGGCTAATCGCGGTGCTCACGCACCGTGGGCTCAGTTCGGCGCCGAGTTCGGCGTCGTTTCCGTGGACAGCTTTTTTTTTATCAGACACTGCCACGCCGAAGAAGAAGAGGAAGAAAAAAAAAAAAAAAAAAGGAACGCGAGATAGAAAAGCGAAACAGAGCCAGGGAACCGGGGAGGCCGCGCGGCCACGATAAGCCTCGAATGCACGTGAATTCCGTCCGCTATCTCTGCTGGGGTCAATCCAGGAGACAGCAGATAACCTTCCTCTCCCGGGTAATCCAGCGCACCATCCCAACGAGAGCGGGCAAAAATATGAACGCTCGCTGACGTCGGCTAGGACAGCGTGCACGGGTTGCCGGAAGACGGGGGAGGTTCGGACATTGTCTCGCAGCGTGTTTGCAGCAACAAACATGTCGGCACAATAGTGGGAACCCGTTGGCACCAGAACGGCGACACGCTCTAACGTCACGGCATTTACTCGTACCGCGCACGACATCGGCGCGACTGTGGCCAATAATTATCGCTGCAGCAGGTACCGGGGTCAACGTTTGCCGCCGCCCAGCTCGCGGTCGTTTGGAGTGCTGTTACAATCCCAACTTCACATCTGAATGAAGCTGAGCACACCGGCCGGCACCGCGAAGTGAAACATTGCTTCACAAATAGGCAACGAGGAGATTACAACCATTCTGTTACCGAACAGCGTAAAGCCAGTCGATAGGTCATGTTTCCCAAACGCACGACGAAATATGATATCGAGTCAACAAACGGGGACACATACAATAAGATAGCTTCTGTTACAGTCACACGATCCCGACACTAACTTCCCGAGAAACGAGAAAGTGTCGCGGAGCCACATATATTGGGGTGAAATATCCAGCGAACGTATGCGTTCGGCTGTCTATTTGTGCACCTCCTCTCCACGCACGACCAGTGAGTGAGCAAGGGAAAAAAAAGAAAAGGGGGCAAGTTATACGATGGGCAACAGTGGGCATGCACGGTCGAAGTCAACCGAGGCATGGACGCCAGTTTGTGTACTTACAGTAGCTTCTGTTCCGTCGTCGTCGCAGCAGCCGCCTGCACGCTCAAGCGGATGTAGCCAGGCGCTCTCGTCGGTTCCTTCGCGTCACAACAGTGTCTCGGCACGCCCCTGCAGACGGCAGAATCAAAGCCCGCACACTCCGCCGGCTCAAGTCAGGTTCAGCCGGCCCGCGTGCACGCCGACGTCAGGAAGAGAGGAAGGAGAGAGCGAGAAAAAAAACAAAAAACGCCGAGTTACGTGTTTGTGGGGGAGACGCTCAGGGAAGCGCGTCGGTCTTGCGCCTTTCAGCTCAACCGCAAAAGTCGGCGCGCCCATTGACGACTAGCGCCGCCTGCTGGAACGCGCTATCAAAAGACCCCTCGCGAGCTCTTCGGTCCCCACGACCGGTGAAATGAGAGGACCTCCCCCCACCAACGCTAACCACCCCAACTCCATGGCGCCGCCGCCGGCGCCGTTGACAACTTGTCGAAAAATTTCCCTTTGTCTGCTCCGTACGCTATCGAGCGTGTTAAGAATGGAACCTTCGGCGACCTTCTTCCGAGTTTCAACGCTGCGGAAACGAGTCAAGACGAGTCCGGGACCGTCGCCCGCTTGTCGGGGCCTGCGCGAAACGAGTCCCGACGAGTCTGGGACCGTCGCCTGCGTGACGGGGCCTGCGGCAACAAGTCTCAACGCGCCCGTGACGTTAGCGGGACGTGTGTGTGTGCGTGGTGGTTGGTGCGCTCGGGAAAGGGAGAGAGGCATGGCCTAACTGCGGAGAACTTTGGCTACGTCGCACTGGACGGCGGACTTTGCTGCATCGCACTTGACGGCGGGTTGCTGCATCGCACTGGCTGCCCTGGCGGGGAGTGAGGGAGAAACGGACCCTATATAAGGCGGAGCGCGAGGCTGCTCCGTTGTTCTCTCGGATTTGACGACTGTATCGCTACCATGTAATTAAACCGTTCGTTACGTTACCAAGTCTCCCACCTCCACTGAACCCCTGGGTTCTTCACTTCGGGGAATGGACGTCGTCTCGAGCCAGGAAGCTTCCGGACGTGCGGCCTAAACCCCGCCTCGAACAACTGGTTGGCAGCAGTTGGGGTCGGACCATGCGACATCGTGCTACATCTGTGGGTGAGCGTTTGGACTTTGCTTTGAGATTCGCCAGGCTTCAGATTATGGGTAATTAATTTTGAACTGCTGGGAATCCTTAGTGTTTGACTCGTGCGCTAGGTTTTTGTACAACCTCGCGACAAGTTTTAGAACAAAGCCAAAGCTAAGAAGCAGCGATCATGGATCTAATGAGGTTACTGAGAACAGATTTACTCTGTTTATGTGAGGAATTTGGTGTGGAGGTGGAGCAAAAGATGAAGAAATCTGAGATCAGTAAAGCAATTTCAGAGAGCGCGGAAGCATAGGATATTAAAATTGCGTGGGAATTACTTCAGAACGCTAAAAGTGAGGCTGCAGCAAGAGAGGAACGAGCGCAGGCTGCAGCGAAAGAGGAACGAGAACAGGAGCAGGCTGCAGCAAGAGAGGAACGAGCGCAGGCTGCAGCGAAAGAGGAACGAGAACAGGAGCAGGCTGCAGCAAGAGAGGAACGAGCGCAGGCTGCAGCGGCAGAGGAACGAGCGCTAAAAAGGCTAGAGCTCGAAATTGAACAACAGCGATTAAACTCGCAGAACAGTAGAGTTGGGGCTCCGGTACGAGCAAGTGAGGCCGAGTCGTATCAAATGAAGAAGCTCCTGCAGCCGTTTAAAGTTGGGGAAGACGTGGGCCTATTCTTAGTTAACTTTGAGAGGACATGTGAGAAGTTGAGCTTCGCCCCAGAAACGTGGCCGCAACGGCTTTTGACTTTGTTGCCCTGTGAGGCTGCAGAGGTTGTCGCGCGCCTTAGTACTATAGACGCGGACGACTACGACAAGGTGAAGTCGAGCCTTTTGAAGCGGTATCGCCTTTCTGCCGAGGCGTTCCGTCAAAGGTTTAGAAACGCATCCAAAAAGAGCAGCGAGGGCTACTCGGAATTCGCGTACGCGCTTAAAACCAACTTGATAGAATGGTTGAAGAGCGAGGAAGTGTACGAAAGCCGCGACAAGGTAGTCGAGTGTGTGTGCCTCGAACAGTTCTTTCGTAGCATTCCGCAGTCAGTCAAGCTCTGGGTGCAGGATAAGGTAGGAGTCGACTCTGTCGAAAGGGCCGCTGAGCTAGCCGAAGAGTACACAACGCGTAGAAAGCTGAGCGGAGAGGAAAGCGAACCCGGCCGGAGCGATCAGCGCAAGCCCTTCCAACAGGGAAACGGCTCGCGAGAAAAAAGGCCCGAGAAGCCAGAAACAGGACAAAAGGTCCCAGAAAAGAGCGGAGATCCCTCGAACGGAGACGAGGCACGGAAAAGCCAAAAAGGGCAGTTCGAGGCAAGGAAGCCGTTCCTGTGCTACAACTGTCAGGAGCCGGGACACACAGCGGCCAGGTGTAACAAACCGCGGGTTGTGTTCTCGTACGTGAGCGGTAGTGACAGGGACCTGGAGCTTCTTCGTCCCTATCTTCACGAGCTCCAGGTAAATGGAAAGCCGTGCAGGGTGCTTCGTGACAGTGCAGCGACGATGGACGTTGTTCATCCGTCGTATGTAACGACATCCGACTTTACTGGAAAGGTAGTTTGGATCAAGCAGCTGCTCGAGAAGCACAGTGTCTGTCTGCCTATGGCGAGAGTAAGCATAACTGGCCCGTTCGGAGAACTAGTGACAGAGGCGGCTGTCTCGCAAACAGTCCCGTCGGAGTATCCCTATTTGTTTTCTAACCGGTCAGATTTCCTGCTGCGCGAAAGGGGTCAACAACTGGGAGGAGGACTAGTTCAGTCATGTACGAGGTCCAAATCGCGTCAGCTCGCCCCTTTGTTGACGAGTGAGCCAGAGCCAAAGGCAGCTGACGGGGAGCAAGCACTCCCAGAGTTGGAGACAGAGAAACGGAATGAGGGGGTCCGGGTTGCAGAACGGCCCGACCTCGTAGCACTAGAAAGCGTACGCCGTCCCAACGCGCCGGCGAAAAAGGCGGAGGAAGACGGGATCATCAAAGGATCTCTCGTAGCTCCGGCGTCACGTAACTTTGGTCCTCTGTTACGAGTAGACAGAGTGTCTTTGACAGTCGAGCAGAAGAGCGACCCTAGTGTGTCAGGGTTTCGCGGTACAGCTCAGGAGATTGCTAGGACCAATGTGACGGGGCATGAAAAAGGCGGATTGTTTTATCGGCGCTATAAGGACCGCATTTTCACGTCTAGAAATCACGTGAAAATCGATCACTATGACTTCAGCGTAAGAAAGAGGAAAGGCAAATTTAGCGGCAATGCCGATGGGTTGCGCAGATTTTTCTGATATCACCAAAAAGAGTAGGGATGATCTCAGAGGTTTTCGTCATCCACGGGAATGAGGATCTGAGTGGGGGCACTTCGTTAAAACCCCAAAAGGACCTCACAAATTGCGAAGAGTTTTTTTGTCTTGTATTTTGTTCATAGTGACCTCGTTGGAAAAATGAGTTTGGCTTTGGGGACAGCGGGTCTCGATACCCGAAATTGTCCTAAGGTTTTAAATTGCATTGTTTTAGCAGATTTTGGTAATCCGTAATCCAGTCTGGCGGGTCTCTGGCGGATTCCGAGCGTTTGACTGCGGTGTGGCGTGGTGTTGTGGGGGACGTTTCCGCTGATGCCTCCGTTGTGAGAGGTTTGGGAGTTTGCTTAGTGCTTGCAGCATCTTCTCAAGGCCTACTCCAAGCCCACCTCTTCAGGCCAGCGATAGTATCACCGGCCATTCGAGGTTTCCCTGGCCCCGGAGGGGCTGTTAAGAATGGAACCTTCGGCGACCTTCTTCCGAGTTTCAACGCTGCGGAAACGAGTCAAGACGAGTCCGGGACCGTCGCCCGCTTGTCGGGGCCTGCGCGAAACGAGTCCCGACGAGTCTGGGACCGTCGCCTGCGTGACGGGGCCTGCGGCAACAAGTCTCAACGCGCCCGTGACGTTAGCGGGACGTGTGTGTGTGCGTGGTGGTTGGTGCGCTCGGGAAAGGGAGAGAGGCATGGCCTAACTGCGGAGAACTTTGGCTACGTCGCACTGGACGGCGGACTTTGCTGCATCGCACTTGACGGCGGGTTGCTGCATCGCACTGGCTGCCCTGGCGGGGAGTGAGGGAGAAACGGACCCTATATAAGGCGGAGCGCGAGGCTGCTCCGTTGTTCTCTCGGATTTGACGACTGTATCGCTACCATGTAATTAAACCGTTCGTTACGTTACCAAGTCTCCCACCTCCACTGAACCCCTGGGTTCTTCACTTCGGGGAATGGACGTCGTCTCGAGCCAGGAAGCTTCCGGACGTGCGGCCTAAACCCCGCCTCGAACAAGCGATAGCGTTGTCACAATCGCGCGAGGGTCTCGTTTTCTTTTTCAGCCGCCGGACTGCGAACTCCGGAACATCCATTGTTTAATCGCCCGCTTAGGAGCCAAAAGCGTCGACGGCGGTTCTCCGAGTCAGATTTTACGCAGAGAGCTGCAACCGTTCGACTTGGGTGTCCGTGTTCCTTCCGAGAGACCTGGAAACGTTTCAGTCTCCGATGTAGGTCGCCGGCTGTCACCGTTTCGCGGGCCCCGCTGCCTGTTCTCATTGCAGAAACAGTTACTCAACGCTTTCTTCCCGCCGAGGGCGACTGGCAGCTGAGACGCGCGAAGACGCAACAGGTCGTCCCAGCTGTCTCCGGATCCCGCTGACGGACTGCGAAGAGCCAATCGCGAATCGAATATCCGAACGCCGTCGGCGGCTCGCGTATACCGTTGCGGCACTTGAGGATTTTCCTCCAAGGACGGAGAATCGTTTCTGTGCGTGCAACTAACGGCTCCTCCCGTCGTAGTCAAACACTCTGCCTGTGACATCTCAAGCAACGCATAGGGAGCAATATATAGGGTTCCTATTACGGCCACAGGTAGTAACTGTACTCGTTTCAATTGCATTTCCGCACCCAGAACCATCACCCGCCGTAGTAGCAAACAAACGATAACAGATGGGATAAACTTTCTAGGAGCAATGGCGTGGCCACGGAGAAAGGGGTCCCGAGGCATTCGCTTGTTTCGCTGTAATTATATTTAAAAAAAAATACTGAAAATTAACAGTCACGGAGCGGACACCTAAAAAAGCATGTCCGCCACGGATGTCCAAGTTGGAGATCTCGCAACTGCAAGTTGTACGTTTACACATTAATATTTCATTGACACAGTATAGAGCATATTGGCCACTAAATATTACGAGGCTTCCTTCTTTCGAAATACCACTGAGATACCAGGACGCGGATGCTGCGAAATAATAGCCGACTTCCGGAAACGACGATTACGCGGAGAATTCACGTGCAATCCGTCTTTGTGGAGGCTATTCTTCTAGCTCAGTCAACCTCAAAGGCATCCCTTGCAAACGCAGATATTTATGTTAATCGCTGTCAGTGAGAAGTTTTTTTTTTTGTTTTTGTTTTTTCCCCACGTGTTGGCTGAATGCACCTTCCTTGCTGACGGCATAGAGCTCACGCAATACCGATAAAAGTGCACTTTCCCTAAGACAAATTCCCGGCCATTCCCTTTCCTCCTCTTTATGCTGGTCAATGATTAGACAATAGGATTAATGGCGACGCACCTGTCAATCATGTCGATTTTCATCGAACAAGAAATAAATGTAAAAATGAAGCAGAGGGCGCAAATCTCGTCCGAAGGCGGTGCCAGCTCTGTAGGCCGATATTTCGACACAGTTACTGGCAGCAGCTGCACGGAACAGAACAAAGCATACTCTGGAGGTTCAGCGCAGATCGTTGGTTTTGGCAAACGATACATGGTTACGGGCCCTCCTCGCTCCCACATCGAGGCGGGCTTCCAAGCGCGTACCCCGGAGCGGTATCGGTCGATTTGCTCTCTCGCTCGCGTTATCGCAAAGTCTATTCCGAGTACAGAGTGGGTGCAGATTATGGTGCAGGGAGGGAGAGTTTCCCACGAAGAGGGTCAAGGAGATACCAAAGGTGTCACAACCCCGAGACCCTTGATCGGGGCGGCCGGCAGCCCGAATAAACAGCGCCGCCTTGTCGCCCCTTTCCCCGAAAGCGTGCTTCTATCGCGACCCAAGGTGATTAAAAAATCGGCACAACCCTATATGGGTTAGAGATAACGCTATCCCGACCACCGTTTTATCCTGCATCACGATAAGCTAATCGCAAAATGGCACGAACGCCGAGGTTCGGGAACGAGGTGGCTATTGCCGGGAAACGTCCAGAGGTGCTCCAGAAGCACGGGCAACGACGGCGCAGTCCAACTAAAGGTAATTCCCCCATTTCAGTTTCCCAGTTTCCCCACCTTTTCTTTTCTGGGTTTGCGGGTAACGGTTGTCTTCCTATTATCTGCTACGCTAGAGCGCGCGACGTTGCGTGCTCATAATCCCGCCACCGATTGCGTCATGGACCTCGGAGTCTCCGATTGGTCACTTCCTCCGACGCTCGAAAAAATGAACTTAGAAACGACTACATCGACGGGTCCAGGGGAAAAGACAGGTTGATCTATTCGTTTTTGTAGTCTCAAAACTCAAAGCATTATTTACTGATGTGGCACGAAAGAGAACTGAGTGTATGTTACTGAAAACTGAAATGTGTTTTTTCTTCTTCTAACATATCAGTTGTTAAAAGAGAGTGATATGAAACAAAGATCAAGGGAAAAGAAGAACTGATCGCGCATCTTTACATTGCATGTGAGCATATGTTTTTTTTAAAGTTTGATAGTTTGGTATAGTGCGTATGCACTGGACTCCATATTTGAGGGCGCTGTTTAGAGCGCATGCTCAGAAAGAACTCACATTAATAGGCTGCTAAGACCGGCAATCTTGATGGTGTAGAATGCACGTTGCAAAAGAACTGTGGAAGCTCTACACCAGCGCGGGCTTAGCAGTCGTGCACACAGCCATGGCCTCCAGTGAGTACTCCCTATAGCCGTCTGTGTGTGACGAAACTGCGTGTGTGAACTTTGCTAGCTGATGACGTAATTAGCCAAAACAAAATAAATAGTCTTTCTGCGAGAAAAAAAAAAAAAAAAGAGTATATATGCTTTTCCAACCGCAAGCCTAGAGGACAACTATAGTTTATTCGAAAGAAAGAAAAATACAACTCTGTAGGCGTTCTTATTCTCTGCGTCACTTCAGTTGAACAGAAGATAACATGATAACATTGTCATAGGGTTAAGAAAAATAAAATTAAGAAAAACAAATTAACTCTAGGGTCTCGTTACCAGGCAACCCGTGCTATCTGCGACTTCAGCCCACAGACGCTGTTGGTTTTATCAAACTATCGATGCCTTGACGGTTAGGGCTTGTTTTCCTAGCCAGCTCCAGCCGCCTTCTGATAGCTGCGCATATTCTCTATTGTCCCAAGCCGGAACCGTAGCCCTCCTTCCCTCGTGGCGGACACAGCAGGCACCTCTCGGTCTTGCAGCTGGTGATAATAAACGAAGATTAAATAAAAAAAAAAGAAAAAAAAAAACAGAGAAAATAGTTGCGGAGACTTTGACATGTACACCCAGTGAAAAAAGTTCACCGTTATAAAGAAGTGTGGCACCCCTAATTTCTTTCCGCGATCGCGCGACACAGTGACACTGAAACACTATTCTGAGTTTCACCTCAAGAAGAAAAAAAGTTTTGCGCATTGTTCATACGCCGGGCGAAGTAGTTCTTAGAAGGTTTGGTTGTCGGGGGAAGAAGCGGTGGTTTTGGTGTTTGAAACGTGTACGTCTCGATTAGATAACATATATCTAATCTAAAATACACCCCCAGATATCTTAATTCGCTGCATACAAGTGGAAACTAGTAGTGCTCCGCGAGGAGCCGGACTTTTTTTTTTTTTTTTTACTGCGGTTCTTGAGTTGAAGACGAGTATATGTATCAGCACTGTGCTAACTCGTCTGGGGCCACGCCACCCAACTTGCTCATCTAACGGGTAAGCAAGCCAGGTGGGCAAGTTGGTGGTACGTTGTCTTGCACACCGAGTGGGGAGTGATCTCGGTGTAAAGACGTGAGTCTCATATCGTGCTTTCCCCGCCTAATCTAACCGATAACTGCCGAAAGAATAAATAAAAACTGACCGACCGCAAGTAGAAGAGGGCGAGGGTGGCTTCGAAGAAGTTGCGGCACTGAGTTCATCTACAGAGACCACATGGCCTCCTTGGCTCCTTGCTGCGCAGGCGCAGCTCGCGCAGTGGCAGATTGCCATTCGCGTGTCATTGTACTACGTTTCCTCGGTCAAAGGCAAAGCTGGCCAAGCTCAGAGCTGCCGTCAACAAGCGCGGCCGCAGATTCGAATTAGCAGCTTTTCCTGTAGCCCCCGCGCACAATTGGTTCTTCCTGCGCTAACCAGTAGCTCGAAATTAATCGAGAATTTGCTTCCGGGGAAAGTGGCTTGGGGTTCGGGTTTTGAACTATGCAATCTTCTTCGAGCTCCCAGAGGTTTCTGGAGCACGGGGTTCCTGCGATGTCCGGTCACCGGAAAAGCCTAGTCAGCTTCAGCGATGCCTTCGCCTCGATGGCATCGGTGGCGTCCGTGGGCGCCTTCCACCGACAAGGCCCGGGAGGCAGCTTCATCCAGGAAAGCTTCCACAGTTCTACCGACTATCCGACCTACATCGCCTGGCAAACGCTGTCAAGCGACCTGTCGGAACGAATCCGGCAGGGCTCCGTGCGGCTCAGCAGGACCAACACCCTCGAGTACGCTCCCATCTCCGAAGAAGTGGGCGAGAAGACCACCTTGCTCAATGGCCTTCGGGACGAGAAGCTAGAATCCCTCACCTCTCCCGCAGTTCAGCAAGGTAAGGCGTCCGTTTTTCAGATTCGCAATCAAAGTCGTACGAGAGAACGAACATCCGTGGTGGAACTTTCGGTCAGTTGTCTGTGTTTCGTATTGTAATCTTACGGGGTAAATAATTCCATCCGCATGTAAACTAAACATTTTTTTTTTTGGCGCAATGTTTGTGTAACGCTGAGAAAGTTGAGCCTTCCTTTAAAGCCACGTGATGTCCTCCTGCGCGAGGAACAAACCAATGTGCTTTCTTCAGAGATGTCCTTCTTGTCTTGCTATTCAGGTGTGTCTTCAGTTACCAAGGGATATACCTTAACGACGTTACGTAACCTCGTTACGGTATATACCCGGCCCGTACCCAACTTGAGCAGTGTTTCGCGCTTTCCGTTTTGACAAAGGCCCTTGGAACCGACATTTCCAAGGGCAAGGATGCGCACATGAAGCCTCCCAGAGAGTGCTTGTGCGGTTCGAATGATCGCCGTAACCGCCTACATATATACAGTCGGGGACAAAAGTCTCCAGAACGCGCGACCTGCGACTGAAACGCATTGCTCTACCATCTGCCGGCGGGTCGCCTGGTTTCGAGATCACACAAATGCGCATGCGCGTCCTACTGTGCCTGCCAAACATGTCTGTTTTCCCCATCTTCTGCGGCGCGTGGTACCGCCTCGGAAATAGCGCTTGCGGCTGACGAGCGTCTGCTACACATCCCGAAACTGGAGATACAACTTGCGGCATTGCGCCGCATTTCGCCGTGTCAGCGCATCTTGCTTTATAACTAGTTGAGCTTATCGCTCGGTTGAGCTGCCGTGACTCCTGGCTTTGCCGATGCCATGTCAGTTAGCGCTATCTCCGAGGCGGTACAACGCGCCCGATTCCGACGCCCCGCCGCAGAAGAGCGGGAAAACAGACATGTTTGCAGGCGCAGTAGGACGCACATGCGCTTTTGTGTGATCTCGAAACCAGGCGACCCGCCGGCAGATGGCAGAGCAATGCGTTTCAGCCGCAGCTCGCGCGTCCTGGGGACTTTTGTCCCCGACTGTACATCAGCTCCCATCCGCTTCCAATCCAATCGAAAGCATCGTGTCGCACAACTGAGTCTAGCCCCAACCAGTCAGCACCAGTGTGGCGTTTCCCAAACACGGCGGTATCAGCCGCCGACCTTCTCCTTCGGCCACCGGCATCCAGTTTCAGCACGTCACTTGGGGAATGTTTTCTGTTTTTTTCCTCAATCAGATCTCGAGTCTCGACATCTGCCGCCTGGCTGGCTGTGACCATGACATTGTAAAAGCGCCGAGTCTCGGCCTCGCTGCAACTTGCCGTCACGGCCACGTGCAACGTGCGCAGTGGAATCGCAAGTGCGCATATATGAACTGGTTTTCGCTGAAGCTGGCTACGCCGACGCCTGGTTACCCTAATCTACAAACGCAAAATTGATAAAAAAAAAAAAAAAGGAAACTTTGAGAATAACAAAGCGCACATTCTGTTCCGTCCGAGATGTGGTGTGTTGTAAAACTTTTTTTTTTTATTTTTTTTTTTTTATTAATTATTTTTGAATCACGGTGAATATAGTACATTGACGTTAGGGTGACGGCGACCGTTCGATTTTTTTTTTAAATTATGCTATTTATTTAAAATAGAAGTGTAAAAAAAAATACCGCAAAAATAAAATCTGCATCGTCGAACGCTCTCTCTCTGCCCAAACGTAGCGCTAGAGTTCTGACCCAGATGCCAAATTTTCAGCACTAACCATTATCTTGTTCAAAAGTTGTGATTTTCGGAAATTTTCCATGGAAAAATGTGGACCATTTTCGCCCGCTTTCGGTAACTGGCGCCCATAGAGTTCCATGTATTCAAAAGCTATGTCGTTTGCCATTTTCCCATGGAAAATTTCGGACAATCACTTATAAATTTTGAATAAAATAACGGTTAGTGTTGAAACTTTGGCATCTGGTGCGGACCGCGCTGGCGCTACCTTTGGGCGGAGAATGAGCGTTTGGCAAAGCGTAGTTTATTTTCGCAATAATTTTTTTTTTTTTTGGGGGGGGGGGGGGGGGGGGGGCATTTTTTACAGTGGTTAGCGACGTGAGCTAGAATGCGCGAACGGCGACCAGGCAGTACAGGCATTGCTGTCGCACGGCTACCGTGCGCGCGGCGGGTGAATATATATACACTTTTAAACACCTCTGCCGTTCCGATCCTCCACTCGCTGCCTGCTCGACCGCGTGGTCTGTACTGCCTGGTCGCCGTTCGCGCATCGCTAGCCACTGTACAGGTGTTTCTTTTCTTTTGCGTTAAGGTATATAAACTGGAACACATCTAGAGTACTCGGCGAAACGAAATGGACCAGCGGAGCGCGTGGCCTCGCGTACCTGTCGCACGCGCACACAGCTGGGCCAAGCGATCGGCGGCTGCCCGTGCTCGGTGCACAACCCCTGATAGCTGATCAGTGCTGGCCATAAACTTGCAACATGAACGAGTTTTTTTTTTTTCTCTCCTTTGCAGTAGCGCGCGCACATTTATATTTTCCCAAAGGTTAAAACTGTGAAAAAAAGCGACCGCCACTCTTCAATGAGCTCAGTTTATACTAAATAATTGTGGAGTGTCATGGGACGTGCGTTCTTTTTTCAGCCTGGCTAAAACAAAACGTCTTCCTTTTTCGCTGTTTTCTTTTCAGTGCCAACATAACTTGAGCAAAAATCAAAATAACAAGCATCATTCCCGTGAAATCGCTACACGTGGCATGATAAGCAAAATGCTGCGTACAAAAAAAAAAAAAAAAAAAGTAAATGCAATTGGACCAATCCAAGCGTTATGCCGAACCACATCGTATAATCAGCTTGGTACGAGACATCTCGGTTCACTTCTCTGCTCCTATATCAATACTTCACTGGCTAAATTCACATCTAAAGCTCTTCATCGAGCGAGGTGAAAACGAGGATGTGTCAGTTTCAATGGCTGCGCATGCAACTTCAGCCGCCGCGTTATTCCACAGGTATCGCCTGGACTGTAGCTACGTTCCTGCTCGTCAACTCTGCACTTGGAGCTGGTGTGCTCAACTTTCCCGCTGCGTACGACCGAGCTGGAGGCATCGTGTCCGCCACCATCTTGCAGATTGTGAGTGCCTCGTTGGGCTTGCCCATGGGTTACATGAAATCTTTTAGCCTAAGACACAGTATATCCTTTTGAAGATATATACTATGCCTCTGAAAAAGTTCAAGCGACTTCTCATCCTTTACAGTCATGTCTTAGTAAACTCGATACAGCGCACAAAAAGGGTGTATACAAGACAAGCGCCGACTCTCAACTGAAGGTTTAATGGAAAAACAAACACTGAAATAAACAGCAAACACCATCATGACCAATCAGCACGTCTCCAGGTAACTAATCTCCCTGCTATGCAAAAGGACAAGTTTGGCTTACGCAATGCTCAGTTTTTTCTTATCGATTGTGTCGCCTCTAGAATTTCTCTGGTCATCTGGTCCCCGCCCCCCTTCCGGCAATTGTGAAGTGATGGAAGTCGGGGGTGACATCCACAATCTGCACAATGAAGAGGCCAGTGCCACCTCGCTGTCGACCGCAAAGACCAAGCATCTGCCAGTTTGGCCAACGTGTATCTTAACGCATGTCGGCGGTTCACGACGCCTATCGCACACCCTACATATTTTTGTTCTTATGCTTTACTGAACAAGTACGCTTCGTTTCACCTCTGTTGGCTACCATGGACACAGTTGCGCCAGTTTGTACGGTGCAGAAAACACCATAAGTACGCCGTATCGCTGCTTTACTTTGTTTAGATTGTGGGATATTTTATGAAGCTATGAAATGACTATGGATGAGTCGGGCTCGTGGCAGAGACTGGTTAGCCAGTTCTTGCAGAAGCACCTCAGTTTTTTTGGAACTTTTCGATCCATATTTGGTGCGCATGCAGTTCTGGGTGTTACGTAGTGTTTTTAGCACGGAATCGCACACGGATTCACTAGGTTTCTCCATTGATGTAGAAGACCTGTTTTACTAGATTCCCCATGAGGCCATGTTTGTTTCGGTACGTGAGTGCATAGAAAAGAACGAGGCTTCCAAAACACTAGCGGCGTATGTGTTGAATGTATTTTGGAGTTGAAGTTTTGTCTGGATTCGACTTTTATTTCATGATGGCAGGCTCTACGTGCAAGAAGAAGGGATCTGCATTGGGTCAGGTGTGGTGCCTGTGCTTTGCGACATTTTGGTTGAGTGCGACTTGGCCATCCACGACAACCTAGATGATGAGTGTACGCAACGTCTTTATATACGTAGACGATTACTTGATTGTTTTCAATAGTTCCGGGATTTTTTCGAAAACCAGTACTGTCACGGCAGTTTTGGATGGTTTCGCACTGTGCTCTAAAGGGCTTAGATTCACTCACGAACTTCGGGATGGATGTTTTCTACAATTTTTAGACCTCAGATTGGAATTTACAGGTAGTCACATTTGTTGATCATATAACACGCGTTCGAAGAAGGGTCTTCTTACATTTAACTCTGCACACTCGAAACTAGTTAAAAGTAGTATAGACGTTTTCCATTTCGTTCTTAGTCACGTATGGTGTATCTAGTATGCGGGACGAAAAAATGATAAAGCAATTCAACCTGGAATATGCGAGAAAATATCGGTGAGACGAAACAAGAATGTGTGACAAGCACTTATTTTTTTGTGAAGACGTTTTAGCGGCGCGGAGAGATCAAAACGATGTTCTAACGCATACCAGCAGAAGTGACGACATTCAAGATGACTGCGCCCTTGTGGAAAAGGTGTATAACTTCGTCTTGCCTACAAGCTGCCTTGGAGGAGTCGTGCCAACATGCAACGCATGACAGTTTCGGTAGGCAGGTGGAGCGATTATAGCCGATTAGTCAATGCTGTCTGTGGCGGAGACGCTGCTTAAGAAGGCGAGGGGAGAGCAACAGTTTTAGAAAGGAAGAGACCGCTCATTTCATACCTTCATAAAATATCTCACAATCTAAAGAAAGTAGCGCGACGATACGACGTACCTGTGGTGTTTTCTGCACCTTACAAACTAACATAACTGCGTCCGGAGCCCAACAAAGGTGGGCCGAAGCGCATTTGTTCAGTATGATCATAAGAACAAACATATGGAGTGCCCGATAGGCGTCGTGTTAATGATTCTGCTGACGTGCGGTAAGATATACGTTGGTCAAACTGGCAGATGTATTAATACGATTGCGTGAACATGCTTGGTCTTTGCGGTCGACAGCCACGGGGGGGGGGGGGGGGGGGGGGGGAGGGGGAGGGGGGGGAAGGGGGAGGAGGGGGGGACTTGTTTATTCATGGTACAAATTGTGAAAGCCTCCCCCACCTTCCATCGCGTCATGATAGTCTGAAGGGACGGGGACCAGATGACCAGGAAAATATTAAAGGCGTATACAATCAAAAAAGCAAGTTTGGCTCAGTTTGGTTAGTTTAGTTTGGTTTGGTTAGTTTAGTTTAGTTTGTTAGTTTGGTTAGTTTAGTTAAGTTTGGCTTAGTTTGGTTAGTTTAGTTTAGTTTGGCTTAGTTTGGTTAGTTTGCGTAAGCCAAACTTCAGTCCATCTTCATAGCAGAGAGATCAGTTATCTGGACACGTGCTGATTGACCATGATTGTGTTTGCTGTTTATTTCAGTGTTTGTTTTTCCATTAAAACTTGAGTTGAGAGTCGGCGCTTGTCTTGTGCACATCCTTCATCTTAGTTTTTTTTTTTTTTTTTTGTGCGTCGTGTCGATTTTTTAAGTATGAATCAACTAGCCCGCATCGCCCCCTAATTCAGTCATGTAAAAGTACTTGTTGTTGGGCTAGTTGGTGATGATGAGCGTTTTGAACCATGCGCTAAAAAGACGAACACAAGAGAGAAGACAAACACGTGCGCTTTTAATTTTTTATTAAGCGCCCGAGTTTGTCTTCTCACTTTTGTTCTTTAGCGCTTTTAACCATGGTGCAAAATAATTGTCATGTCACATGCGCAGTTTTTCTGAAACTTTCTGCTTGTGCTTATAAGTATTTAGTAAGGAACGTAATAAGGAACTTGAAATTCCCACACGAACGTCCCGATCGAACGTAAACTGGTACCTTTCTTTGTGCACCAGGTGATGATGTGCCTGATCGTGATTACCATGCTTGTCCTGGGCTACTGTTCCGACCTGAACAACGACAACACGTACCACGATGTCCTGATGACCACCTGTGGCAAGCGGGCTCAGCAGCTGGCCGCCGTGTCAATCCTACTTTCGTGCTATGGCATCTGCATCACATTCCTCATCATCATTGGCGACCAGTACGACCGACGTGAGTGCGAAGCTCGGGGCTCAGTTCGGATGCGCAGCCGCGGGACCTGCGTTGTTGTGATTTCAGTCATAATATGCTACTTGTAACGTTCCTCTCGTCTTCTGACGGTTTCGCCACGTTCTCTGCGCAGTGTTCGCCTCCCAGTTCGGCCCTCTCTTCTGCCACGAGTGGTACATGAACAGGCAATTCACAATTCTGGCCACCGCAGTCGTGTGCATCATGCCTCTCTGCTACTTCCAGAGGCTGGACTTCCTCAAGTATGCCAGGTAACAACACCAGCGCTCGTCTAGCTCGCGGCCGAAGGGTGAAAGGTTTAACGGGAATGCCAATGACCCGAGCTGTTCCTCCTTCCACCAGTTCCCTCGGAATTTTCGTCATGCTGTATCCAATATTCTTGACGATATTCGTCTTTGCCACTGAAGATCTGGAGGAAGTCACGATGAAGACCAGGTCAGCCTCAGCCATATAGTTGTGCCGCTTTGGAATCGTGTCCGACTGCCCTCTTTCTCGTCCCAAACAGACCGTCAAGTTTGACCGACATCGTTGTCACTCTCCCCGTGATTTGTTTTGCGTATCAGGTGAGTGATCACACTCGCGCGACATTCAATCATTTCTTTTTTGTTCTAGAGTTGTGTTAAGGAGACCCCGCGAACCACGTTGCGGTAAGGGGCTGTTTATACTCCGACGTTGAGTGCAGTGAACGCAGCGTAGCGCAGAACGCGCGCCTTTCATTGACCGGCGACCAGGAACGCGATACCTGCGACCAATCAGTATCAGTGTGCGCTGCGCTACGCCGCGCTCGTCGACGTTACGTTGGAGTATAAACGTGCCTTAACTATCCAATGAGAGGCTGCAAATCACCGGATGGAGTCAAAAGATTTGCGCACACGGCGAGTTCCCTAGAATTCGTGGTACGTTTCCGAACCGTCCCGCTTTGAGAGGTTTCCTTGTTAGAAAGTTTAATCTAAGCCAGTAATTGTCACTCCACTGTGGAACTCCTTCAATTGTTAGTCATCTCTCGCAATTTTTATTTCACTTTCATGAGTGTGAAGTGTTTATCGGAGCTGATGAGATGAATCTCAACAAGCTGCGTGGTTGAGATTCATCGTACTTATTTGCAGGCCCACGAGGTGATCATCCCGATCTACTCAAACCTGCGCGAACGAACGCTGGCCAATTTGGCCAAGACCACCACAGCTTGCACGATTTTCCTCTTCGTCATCTACGGGCTCATGGGCACGTTCGGCTACATGGCCTATGGCTCGACCGTCAAGCCCGACATAATGCAGATGTTTGACGCCTCGAATCCCTGGGTGCTCTTCGGCATCGCAGCGCTCATTGTCAAGATGACTACGACCTATCCGCTGCTCGCCTCCTGCGGCAGGTAAGGACGCATTTCTAGTTTCGAAGCTTCCCACCAGAGCAACACAATGCGAAAAAGTTCACTTTGGTCTCTCGTTGAAAAGGCGATTCTGTTTGAAATATCTCGATTAGTGTCGCCTTTGCAAGTTATTCGCCACGAGAAACAGTTTGAAGCTACGAACATCGGAAGTCCAATAGCCACAACTTTATTGACTGCCTATTATAGAGGACTTCTACTTGGTTGGTGCATCGATACCTTACAGCAATGGTGGAATATAGATATACGAGGTGCGGTCAAAAAGTTCCGAGACTGATTTTGTGGCGTAAAAAGAGGGCAGCATACTAGATGCGCGCGCAGCTGACGGAGGAAGGGACCTTCATGTCTCGTTATACCAAAAGGCGTCGCTCTGCGAACATTTGGAGCTGCGCTACACGAGTTTTTGTGACCACGTGCGCGGGCACAATGGCGATTTCACCATATACTGGTAACCAGAGCGAGAGCTAATATGAATTCTGCGTCAAAATATAACATACCTTTGAAATGATTCAGCAGGCTTGTGTCAACAGGCAGTGAATTTTGCGAAGTTTCAAGTGGCACTCGCGCTTCAGTAACGGCAGGACATCGCTGGAAGACGAAGAGCGGTAAGGCGACCTTATCCGACCTCTCCTTGACTTCAGTGACGTTCTGCTATTCTTGAGGCGCGAGTTCCACTCAACACCTCGCACACCTCACTGTTTTTAGACGTAAGCCTTCTAAGTCATTTCGGAGGTCTCTGTTTTAGATTGACCGAGTTGGACGTAAAACTGATATCCCTCTCGCTTTGGTTTGCAGCCTATGGAGAGATCGCCATCATTTTATGATCGTGAATATAATTTTAAAAAAAGAAAACGCGTTTAACGAAGTTCTAGATGTTCACAGAGCAACGCCGTTTGGCATAATGACGCAGGAAGGTCCCTGCTTTCGACAGCTGCGCGCGCACCACTGTGCTGCCCTCCTTTTGCGCTACAAAATTAGTTTCGGAACTTTTTGGTCGCACCTCGTTTCTTCACGGCTGCGAAAAGGTTCCACTGTATCGGCTGCCAGATTCGTGATGTCGTGTAACTGTCAGTGCAAATGTGACAGTGCGCTAAAAACGTAATCTGCATCAAGTTTTCTTTTGATTAAATGACGCGTGTATGACAGTCAAATACCCCTGTCAAACGGGCACGTTAAATGACATTTAAGCAAAACGACATTACATGGCGGCCAATCCGCGTGTTTAATACGCGCCGCGGCGCGTGCACGCTCCACGTGCAGAACCAGGATCACGAGCTGATTCGCCGAGCGGTGAATGACATTCGATCAAAATGACATTTACTTTCCCGTCTGACAGGGGTATAAGGTGCACGGAGAAACGAGTACCATTTAACTCCAGGGCCGGCTTGCTAGAACAGTGTCTCAGCTGAGACTGGGTAGAAGAAAGCACTGCAAAGGCTGGGCCGTGCGATCGTCTTGAGACGCGGTTTGAGTCCCGCTCAGCTCGTGCGCTGGCTTTGGCTGTGCCTCCTTTCACCCAGTCTCAGCTGAGACGCTGCTTCTAGCAAGCCGGCCCTCTCGTGCTTATTTGTTTCCAAAATTAACGGATATCGCTTTTGTGTGTGTGTGTATGTATGCGTGTGTATGTATGCGTGTGTGTGTGTGTGTGTGTGTGTGTGTGTGTGTGTGTGTGTGCTTTGTTTTATCGGCACATGTTTGTTGATGTTTTTCGATCGAATCCGTCTGCGGACTAATATTAAGCACTAAAGTTGTATTGGAGTATGGCATGAGGAGGTAGATACAGGGCCAACAATGGTCGTACAAGGTAAAGAAACTGATGCATAACGTCGTGCTATATTAAAAGTTGTATATGTTTTATCTTACTCGACGAACTGCAAAAGCTACGGCCCCTTCAGTTAGGAGCACCGGGGGCACATGGTAGCACTCCTAAGAAGTGCGCTGCCTCGTTCCAGCGTTATTTTCGGCACACTGGGGGACGGTCGCTCTTGGTCACGCGGAGCGCATAGACTCGGAACGTTTTGGTCGTATTCGGCACAGCACTCCTTATCTCTGCAGGAGGCATGTATTTACGTTGGGTGCCTTTGCAGAGGTGCCTTCGACGGCCTGTATGCTGAGCTGCTCAAACTTCCGGCCAAGGAGTTCATCGAAGGAGAGCCTCGTCGGCGTATCATCATCACAACGGGCTGGTTTGTCACCTCCACCGCTTTAGCCACCTTCACCTCAAACATCGGCGTCGTCATCGAGCTGTTAGGATGCTTGGCCGCCGCCAACATCTTTATTTTTCCAGGTACGAAAATCTAAGCAAAAAGCTAGAAGGAAATCAAGCGTACTCTCATCAATAAAGTTGCTGTCACAAAGTCCTCCAGGAATTTAATTCGAGCCTCACCACGATGTCATCCTAACACCAGACCGTGGTCCGTTTATCTGAACACTTCTTATCCCCGAATAACGAATTCGGTAAACAGGGCGCAAGTGAGCTGGTGTATACTGAACATTTTTTTTTTTAAAGCAACCCGTTTAAGACGTTCTCTGTCTCTTCTTTTGGTGTCGACTTTCGTATTCCTCAGTCTCAGATTGCTTCAAAATTATTCGGGGACTTGTTAAATTAGTCGAGCATTGAAGCACCTTCATTCTCGCATAAAATCCTCCCGGAATTCGATTTGTTGAGTATGATTAGCGAGAACATGATCGCCACTTAAAACAAAAGTCACGGTATATAAGCAAATCGTTTCGAAACTGTAGGCGTCATAATGTCATATTGAACAAAGATCAAGGAGGAGAAACCGGTGATGCAGCTCAGCATATTACGACTCTATCGTAGGAATGTGCAGTTGACCTTACCCGTTTCTTGCCCGTTTCAGGCCTGTGCCTCGTGGGGATGTTCCACAAGCAACACGAGTTTCTATTAAAGCGACCAATGCTCGTGTTCGCTTCCGGGAGCTTCATGATAGTCTTCGGGACGTTCCTCTTCGGCGTCGTCCTCCTGGAGACCATAATGAACGACATCACGACCGGAGGAACGCACCACCTGCTCTGCACGTGACCTGGCCTCCCCTTCTCCACTGGCTGTTCCCCCTGGCTTCCAGATTCCCACGGCGCCAGCGAATTCCTCGCGCCCACCAGTTACCCCTTCTCGAAACTTGGGACCTTTAGTCACATTTGTGTACCGTGTGCCTGCGCCCATGTGTGTGTTGGGGACTTTATTTAAATGTTGTACATTAAACTTTTACCTTACCTTACTGTACGTCTGGTTGTTACGAGTGCTACAGAATAGAGGCCTTAGTCGCTTACGACCATACATGGGTAAATTACTTTCAAAATGTAATTTAAATACAATTACAGTTACTTTGCTTCAAAAGTAGTTTAACTACAATTGCTACTACGTGAAAAGAATTTAATTACAATTACAAATTACCTTTGGAAAGTAATGCAATTACTTTAAAATTACTTATTTAACTTTGAACGAGTTGTATAGAATGCAACGTATTTGTTCATTCCTCGCCCCAATGTTTGAGGAGGCTTAAAAAGCATCGCTGCATAAATGCCACGTTTTGAACTTTCCTTTTATGAATCTTGTTAAATTCATGATGGAACTTGACAGTTTGAGGCAATGAAGTACTACGTTATTATATATATATTTTTTTATAAATAACTTGGTTCATATGCTGGAAGACGCCAGATCGCCAAAGAAAAAAAAAAATTGGGTTGACAGAGTTTTGTTAGCCCGGCAAATAAAAATGCGACAATTAGTCATTTATGAATATTTTACAAGTGTTGATATAAAACTGAAATCCACACGCGCTGATATGACCGTATTCACATACAAACATCATGGTATTGTAAATTATTTACATTGAGTTGAAATTATAATGGCTCAGAAGTATATTAGAACCAAATCGGGGCTCCCGAATCATTGGTAACTATTCACAGGTGCGAGGTCAATCTCTAAAACGCTTATGCAAAAATATGTACGAAGTAAAACCAACTGGAAAAAAACTTGGAAATAATACAAATATGCGACAGAACCTATAGAGGGAAGTTAAAAAAAAATTATAAACAAATAAAGTTCCCTAGCTCAACTGAAAGTTGAAGTTCATTTTTTTTTTTCAATATTTTGTCATGTTTACGCTATTTTTTTTTTTTTTTTTTTCTGCTCGCACAGCAGACGGCGCAACACGGCGCCGTTGGGGTAGGCTTCAAGGAGGATTGCCTCCAGCCCGCAGTGTAAGCAACAAAACAACAAACAATGCGATGCTATTGATGTTGTGCGCGTGTGTGAGTGCGTGTCTTCGTGCGAGTGTTTCACCGAGAGCTAGGCCCCTTCTGCGAGTGCTGAGGCCTTCAGAGAGGTTCTGTCAGCGCCGCAAAGTTTTGCAAAAGTAGTTGTAATTGTGTATGAAATTTTGCAATTACTGAAGCTAGAAAGTAATTAAATTACAACTACTTTTGGCCGAAAGTAATTAATTACAAATTACCAAGGAAAGTAATTAAATTACTGTAATTGAAATACTACTCAAGTATGCTTACGACAGTTCTGCCATGCTTCGGAACTTCCTCAGGTACGAAGTGTTGCGTCAGTGTCACGGTGTAGTCAGTGTTCACGCCAAGTTCCTGCACGCTCATAAAACGCGGGATTTCAGTCAAACATGGCTACTGTGAATCTCCGTGCAACGTTGACGGCCCAGCAGCGCAGGACGAGGATTCGAAGAAGCTCTCCGACTGGAAAAACTGGGTGGTCGACCGCAGACGTGGATGAATCGGCGACATAAGCCCACTCAAGTCATATTGGTCGACGTTTCTGCGCACTCAAAAAACTGTCACTCAAGCTTTCACACACACAAGGAACACAACTCTCACACAGCGCTCACTAACGACTTTGTATTGCGTGGTTAACTTCGGCTTCTACTTCTACCAACTCGCCCATTCTGAAGTTCTAACACTCAAGTCAGCGGCCTACACGAGAGCTGTTGGAACAATCGCCTGGGCACAATGGCAAAGGGTAAGGAAGACGATGATTTGTGGAACAGACCTCCTCTAACACCCTTCAGGACCATCGCCGACCGTCAATTGGGCGACAGTGGGTCGGCAGCTACGTCGAGCGCGTTCAGGCACTGCAAGCGGTCATGCTACGAGCGCATGCTCAGCAGTTGCGATCTCATCCCCCCTTCCACCTCTAAACGTCATCACTAGTAGATCCCCTCAGCGCCTCCTAGGTAGCCCGGATGAGCTCCATCGTTTGCTACATCGTCTGCTCCATCGCCTGCTGCATCGCCTGCTTCAGTGGTCGTGCTCAGAACGAGCTTACATTGCTAAGATCGGCAATCTTGATGATGTCGCATGCACGTGGCAAATGAACTGTGATAGCTCGTTACCAGCTCGCGCTAAGCAGTCGCGCACGCAGCTGTGGCCGCCAGTAAAGGCGGCGTAATTCCTCCGAAAACCCACGAGAGCGGCGGCGAACGCCGATAAAGGACTCGGAGTCTACGTAAGCAGACGCTTTGCGAGCCCCGTTTCGTCATTCCAACAGCTGAAACAATTCATTACGATCAGTCCGCTTGCGAAGCGGAATCCACTGATCGCAACTGCAACGACAATCAAATAACGACGCACGCATGAACAAAGATAGGGCAGTCTATTTAGCGGCCTCAAACGCCACTCAGGGGATCACACGAGTTTGGAGCGCATCTGGGAAGCGGAAGTAGGCGTTTAGCTGCTCGAACTACGTCGTAAGAGGTTACTGCTGATCCGTTGCAGACTGCGTTGTCACAGTTTCTTACCTAAATAGGTGATCATTAAAACGTGCGCAAACAACATGTTAAGATTACCAGAGCAAGCGAACCAGCCTTTGCAGCACAACAAAAACAAGAAGGTAACGAGAAAATGACCGTGCAAACATTTTCCGAACTTTGCAGGAAAGATGGGTTCTTCTCAGACGAAAATAAAGAGAAATGGTGAACTGGTAGCGAACAACGGCGAATAAAACAAAACTTTAACTGACAATAGAAAGATACATAAATCACCCAGCCAAAAACTCCTTCAACGACAACGATCATTGCGGCACATAGGGGGAAAAAATGAAAAGCAGCAGCACAAAAAAAAAAAAAAAAAAAAAGAGCTTCTCTTTTCTTTTTGTTGTTTGTTTTAGTTTAATTTTAATGCTGCAGCAACTTAGTTACTCACGTTTGTTCGGTCTTCGGGAAGCGGAAGAAGGGCTTTCTAACACATCGCAAAAACTTGTTTTTGCAGTGGTACGCACCACATGACACGCCTGCCATCTCCAAGTATGCGCTGGTGTATGCCCAAAAGCGGCCGGTTGATCCACAAACGATGACCCGTAGCAGATGTTCCGGCGTAGACAAATAAAATTCGAATATAAATGTATAAGGAGCTTGCACATTTTAATATATTTAATAAATACCAAAAAGCACATATGAAGATTTGGTTTTTGGAACTCAATCGAAGGCGAAAATAGGAGGTTATCGCAGACGAGAGCGGAAGAAAACAACAACAACAACAAAGTTGCAGACGGCCCTCAAAATGTCCGGGCACAGCGCAGCAGACGGACTGGCGGAAGTAAGCGCCGAACTGAAGGAAACAGAGCAAAAACTAATCCAAACAAGGCAAAACAAAATACGCGATGGTTCGAACGTCAAGTAAACAAAAAGGAAAACTAAACACACACACACAAAGAAACACATAAAAGCAGGAGGAAGAAAGAGCGCGATGTCAAAGCGTCCCCTCAAAAAAATAAATAAAGTAGACGGAAAAATGGAAAGAGTTGCTGACGGTCTAAAGGGTGCCGGCTTTTATCGTAGAAGGCGACGAAGACGTTAGTCGTCCGGGCGCTAACAATCGGAATTTGACCGTCATCTTTTTTTCTTTTCTTTTCTTTTGGACGCGCAAAAAGTCTGCTTTGCTTGTACCTCCGATTTTATTAGTTTCAGTTTCAGTAATAGCGTCATATTGGCATGTGCACTGTTGAATTCTTTCAGAGCATACTGACATCGCAATAACGTACGTGGTTCGAAATTGCCTTTTGCTTCTTCATCCTATTCGCCTATTCGACAAAACAGTTATAATCAAGACATTAATGAGAAATGGGAACTGCAACAACAAAACAAATTGATTGATAAGAGCAGTAAAGTTGAAACGTAGCTACGTTCTAAAATGTTTGTACATTGCCCTTTTTTCAAAAGACAGTGTGAAGGTACATTCGTGTTTTATCTCGCTTACGTAAGTTGTAACAGCTAGAGTGTTTTCTTCAGGAGAGTCCCAAAATTGCAACCTGAAAACCCTAACATCTTTCCCACGCGAAGAAGATGTCCTTCACTTATGAGGAGGCACCTATTTTTTAACATTCAAAGTAACGAATACCCGTGACAATTTTTTTTCATTGGTCACCTCGCACGAAAATGGGCAGAACCAATGAGTAGCGGAGAATTCGTCTGCTAGCGGAGGCTCCGAGCTCGTTAGGAGCGCTGCAATCACTTTTCCCCCACGCTCCGCGGGGCCTCTACTCTCGTCAAGCTTCTTCGTGTTTGCCGCTTGGGGCGGGTCGGGGATCTACTAACGAAATGTCATGCGCACGCCTTGTCTTCTAGGTGGTATTGCCTAAGCTGACTGGCCCTGTGCTAGAAGAGATTGAGACTGCACTCAGACCAACGTCACCAGAACTCTCAGTTGGGAAACTCACCGCGGAAACCTGGGCCGCGGGCGTCCACCGAGACCGAGCTCGACGACAGCGCCACTCTGTATCATTCGTCTTAACTGTGGTCACCTTGAACTTTTAGAAAGCATGTTTTTGCGTAAAAACCAACGGAAAAAAACTCTTTTTGTAGTAACTTTTATTGGAGTTAGGACAGAATGAAGGGCCCGTGTTGTTTTCTAAAATCTTTAGTTTGCAAGGTTTTGCAGTACAATTAATATAATTTTTATACAACCGTGCCTCAGCGGCTATTTCAGGCAGCGCGTCCCGAGCTAGGCGCATATTAACCCCGGTAGTAATTCGCGGCGCGTCCGCTTGGGAGTCACGGGCGGCAATCCTGAAGCCCCTTCCGCTATATCTGTTCTGGCCCCAAGCTGGCCGTTAAAAACGAAATGGAAGTCACTTTAGTTCCCGGAGTGACCGCTGTGGGAGAAATTGAGGCGTTGTGATGGCCATTAGCTCGGTTCTCGAGGCGCTTCCTTCCCTCTGTCGACGGCCTCGTGGACCTCTTCCTCTACGGCATAATCCTGGTGCCGCTCCACTTCACGATACACTGGCGCCTCGCGACAATCGACCTCAGGAAGAAGCACATCGCCTACTATGACAGCATGGAAAGCAGCCGCGAGAGGCACAACTGCCTCCACAAGCTGCAGCTCTACCTGGAAGCAGAGAGCCAGTACAAGCGGGGACACGGCCTGGACTGGGAACCCTGGAAGCTGCAGGTGATAAGCGACCTGCCGCAGCAGCACAACGACAGCGTCTGTGGCATCTTCACCTGTCAGTACGCCGAGTGTGTCTCGCGCGACGCCAAGATCTCCTTCGGACAGCAGCACATGCCATACTTCCGCAAGCGGGTGGTGTATGAGATCTTACATGGGCAGCTTCTCCCTGTCTGAGCGGTGTTTTCTTTTAAAGCAATGTACATATTTTACTAATCAGCGTCGGCACTTTTTTTTTATTTTTTTAATGGTTCTCAAGCAAATCGTTGTATTTGATTGCCGGGTGGCCTCGGTCAAGATACTGGTATACCGCAGTGTCCGAGGGCAGCTATTGGTGTGGTGGGCCATTGTTCATGTATGTGGGGATATTGTCCACCTTCTATGTGTTTGGCAGCTTGACCCCACCTACATGTCTGAAAGCCTGCTACACCCCCTACTTTGCTTAATGCTGGTCCTCCCATATCCGTTTGAGTGTAACTGCATCGCAACTGTCTGTGACCGCTTAAAGGCCGACTTACGAAACCGTTTTCCGCACGGTAGGAAAGTGCTACCCAACGACCTCCGCTCCCTCCCATCTCGCACTCCTTCCTCCTCCCCTGAAAAGGGCGGGTCCGGAAGCTAGTCTCCGTGGAAAGGAGAAGGGGTTTCCTCCTTTCTGGGTGGCAAAGAGGAAACCTCTTTTCCCGCGGAAAATGGTTTTGTAGGTGGTTCTATAGGAGCTAAGCCTTTTTCTTTCTTTACTCTTTCCTCAGGTAAGTTCGCTCTTTGCAAATTTTTGCAAAAAAAATGCACCATCTGTGGGCAACGCTGCACAAAGTCGTAGCGCGATAGGTTAAGAAACCGAATTTTCCGGTCGATTTAAAGAGCCTGGCGTCTCCTTGTTTCACCCTGTAGACTCGTTGACACCAAGAAGTAATTATTGTTATACACTCTCAAGAAAAAAAGGGTGTAAAATGGAGTATCGTTACACCCTTTGTCCCACATAATACACCCCAAAACTTCAATTCGGCGTACAGCGCCCTACAGACGGCCCGACATTTTACGAGGGGCTTAATAGCCGAGTGGTACAACTTATTAAAATAGCTAATGTACGTTTAACTGACTACAAAAAATATAATCGGGGCTTTTCTTGGCTCTGCTGTAAAAACTCGGTGTTTTCTTTATGTGGTCTTTGATACGCACTTTAGCTATTTAAAAAGTTGTACCACACGGCTAACAAGCCCCTCGTAAAATTTCGGGCCGTCTGTTCGACTGTAGGGCGCTGTACGTCGAATTGAAGTTTGGGGTGTATTATATGGGACAAAGGGTGTAACGATACACAATTTTACACCCTTTTTTCTTAAGAGTGTAAGGCAGTAAAATGCAAAGGTGCAAGCGAGCTGGACCAGAATGACGAAAATAATCCCTCGAGAAGGGACAAAGGACAAACACAAATCTTTTTCGAAGGCCGCGTTCTCGCCAGGGAAAAAGCGGTGAATCTCCGACAGACGCCGGAAAGGTAGACAAAAACAACGCACCGCTCGAGTTATTTCGCCTGCCCTCTCTGAAAGGCGAAGTCGAGCTCGCTCGTAAAGACCTGCACTTCCGAAAGACGCAGGAAAGGTAAGACAGACGCAGACGACGTTGCGAGCAGACGACGTTGCAAAGAAGCAGACGACGCTCAGATAGGGGGTCACCAACGTTACTAAAATACTCAGTTGGGAAACTCGCCGTCGAAACCTGTGCCGCTGGCGTCCACCGAGACCGAGCTAAATGCGACAACAGCGCCACTCTTTATCGTTTGTCTGTACTGTGGTCACCTTGAGCTTTTTGAAAGCCTGTTTTTGCGTAAAAACAAACGGAAAAGACTTTTTTTGTATGAAATTTATTGCAGATTAGTACAAAAAGAGGGGCGCGTTATGTTTTTATAATCTTTAGTTTGCAAGGTTTTCCGGCACAATTAATATTGTTTTTATACAACCATGCCTCAGCGGTCCTTTCAGGTAGCGCGTCTCGACCTAGGTGCATTTTAACTTCGTTAGTTCGACGCGGCGCGTCCGCCGGGGTGACGGAGGTTGTCCCTGTAACCTCTATGCGCTGTATCTGTTCTTAAGGCCTAAATAGCAGTAATGTGCAGTTCCTCGAGTGGCCGCTGCGGGAGAAATGGTGGCGTTGTGTTCGTCATTAGTTCGGTGCTCGGAGACAGATTGGGGCCACTTTTTCAAAGTTGTCTCTATGGCAGTTTCCCAAGTGAGTGTTTTAGTAACGTTGGGGGTCACGATCAGTCGGCTCGGCGTTCTGACGTCACCGCTACCCCCTGCGCGAGAAGCAGCCGAACTTGCCCTCCAGGCTCCGCCAATGCCTCCGCATAGTCCTCCTGCGCTGAAACTTTGAAGGTATCGCGGCGCCCTCCGGTGGCGGGCAATAAAATGTCTGAGTAGTACAAGCAGTACAAGCCTACCAAGGCCCCGCGGCCTCGTCCAGCCTGTTCGGGCAGTTTTCTGCACTGCGTTTGTACCTTTCTGGTTAACGATATCCGATTTAGTTAGTGTTTGTTTCCACGTTAGACACCCATGTGTTGTGTTTCTTTTTCATCAAATAAAGTTCACGTCCACAAAACTTGCTGCCGAGAACGGAGAGACGACAGTGCGAATTAGCGACGTTTTTCTTCGCCACCGGTGCCGGTACGCGGTCGAAGTACAGGTATACTGACATACGCAGCTCTAGAGAAGGAGACGAATCATTTCCTTGCCTGAATATATTTATTATGCGTTGCGCCACATTATGTATAATACACAGCATTTTGCTACATTTTACCGATCACCGCGAAACCGCACAGAAACCGAGACCGTGCATTGGTTAGGCCTACGTCAACCACACCGATCAGCTCAGCTAGATCTGGGCGTGTGCCAGGGTTTAGAATGGCAGTACAGTACGTACCATACGTTGAAAGAAACAAAACGAAATCTGGTTTATGCAGCAACAGTACCTAAAAAGAAACAACTGACCGCGTCCGCGAGCTTTACGACAAGGTTCACGCTTCCGTCTTCAACCAGCAACGAACCGAACGAATCTCCGAATCTGCCGAATATTCGTCGCGGGAAGTTCGAACATTTCCGAATCTGCGAAGTGACCAGGCTTCTGACATTTACTGCACTTGGCATTTCGCGCTGGACAGTTACCTTTGGAGTGTTTCTTTCCGCCGCACCAGCATAACTGTTGTGGGTTTCCCTTTTGGGGTTTCTCTCTGAATAGGGCTGGTGCCTTGAACGATTGAACTCTGTTGACGTCGTCGGTTCCATGTAAAGCGTGTTGTTGGCTTTTGACTGTTTCCGACTGGCGCGCCATCGTGGTTGCTGACTCTAAGTTTAGTTTTGCATCAAGATGCATTTTCTCGGATAGTTTTCTATCTTGGCTCCCACGACGATGCGGTCACGTATATATATATATCAAGGTGTTCACTTGTACTGTTGCGGGCTAGTTCTGAAGTCCACTTAGGGCTCGCAATTGCTCGGAGCGCTGTATCCCTCGAGGCCAGTCTTCGGTTTTTGTGAAGTCGAAAGGTTCCGGCGGTTGACAGGCGAACACAGAGGTAGCCATCTTTGGCGAAGAGGTTGCCGGTGGTTCCCTGTGTATTTGCGCTTGCTTGACTGATACGCTTGGACTTCGATGGACTTCGGTCGGTGACTATGCCCTCTGGAGATGCTTGGAGGGTAAATTCATGAATGAATATTGTTAAATCCGCTGCCACCATGTGGTATTCGTAGCCGGTGAGGAAAGAAAGCACAGTCGTCCATGTTAGCTGAGTAACTTCTTCTCCTTCTTTCCCTAAGCCCCAGGGCTTATATTACAAAAGGCATTCGTGAGGCAAGCCGCACCATGGAGGAAGAGGATTTCCGTGAAGTAGTAGAGAGGACGGAATTCGTCATGCGGGAAAAACGCCGACGATGTCCCGTCCGAAATCCGCACCACGATTCAACGGGCGTGACAAGCTCAAGGCGCAGATCGAAAACGACGATGAAGAAGCGAATGAAGCACAGCTCCAAGTTAAGGCGCTTCCTTCCCTCTGTCGACGGCCTCGTCTTGCCTAAGCTGACTGGCCCGATGCTAGAAGAGATTGAGACTGCACTCAGGCCGACGCCCGCGCACGAAGCCCTTGCCAAGGGGTACGGACTGACCATCAGCCGCTCGGACATGAGCACTCTAGCGGAGTACCAGTGGCTCAACGACGAGGTGGTCAACTTCTACATGAACCTGCTCGTCGAACGGACCAAGCAGAACAGTGACCTACCCAAGCTGTACGCCTTCAACACCTTTTTCTTCACGAAGATGGCGGCCGAGGGACACTCAGCCGTGAAGCGGTGGACGAAGGAAGTGGACCTGTTCTCTTACGACATAGTCCTGGTGCCGCTCCACTTCACGGATCACTGGTGCCTCGCGACAATCGACTTCAGGAAGAAGCACATACGACAGCATGGGCAACAGCCGCGAGAGGCGCAACTGCCTCCACAAGCTGCAGCTCTACTTGGAGGCAGAGAGCCAGGACAGGCGGGGACACGGCCTGGACTGGGAACCCTGGGAGCTGCAGGTGATAAGCGACCTGCCGCAGCAGCACAACGACTGCGACTGTGGCATCTTCACCTGTCAGTACGCCGAGTGTGTGTCGCGCGATGCCGAGATCTCCTTCGGACAGCAGGACGTGCCATACTTCCGCAAGCGGATGGTGTACGAGATCTTACATGGGCAGCTTCTCCCTGTCTGAGCGGTGTTTCCTTTTAAAGCAATGTACATAATTTACTAGTCAGCGTCGGCACTTTTTTTAATGGTTCTCAAACAAAGCGTTGTATTTGATTGCCGGGTGGCCTCGGTCAAGATACTGGCATACTGCAGAGTCCGAGTGAAGCTATTGGTTTGGTGGGCCATCGTTCATGTTTGTAGGGATATTGTCCACCTTCTGGGCGTGTTTGGCAGCTTGTCCCAAACTACATGTCTGAAAGCCTGCTACACCGCCTGCTTTGCTTAATGCTGGACCACCCATATGCGTTTGAGTGTAACTGCTTCGCAACTGTTTGTAACCGTGCTTAACGACGAGGGATCGCTAGGCACCTGTCCGGTAGCCCTATAGAATGCTTCCAGTCTGTGTATATTTTACGCATCATTCTCCGTGTGCCTGAAATAATTTTTACAATGTTGTAGGCGACTATTTTTCATGGATAGTGTGAAGATTTGATCTTGCAAATACCTCGAAACCTTTAGTGTACACTCAGATGCAAGTTAAAAGTGCTCCAAATAAACACCACAATGTGCCAGCAGCCATGGCCTCGAATTGCTCCGTGAATCAAACAGGAAAGGCAATAGCCACGACGAATTGTATGACTTGTAGGCTCGTGGAAGAGACGGACATTGGCAAGGCCCAGAGCCCGCGAGGAGGAACACTCGATTTCTGGGCCTATTTAGATAAAGGTGTCTCCTAACACGGAATGCGTGTTATGATCCGAATTCTATACGAGAAAACTGTTGTGGAGAACTGTTGCGAAGAACCGTTACAGATCTTCTGTGTCTAGCTTGTATTGTCATTGTGGGTTCAGGACTCTCCCCAGAAATATTTGAGACGTGGACATGTGAAAATTTGTAGGGTATTGCGAGGAGGAGACGGGGCGACTGCTGCAACTTTTGGTGTTCTCTGCAGGGCTTATGGAGTTCTGTTGCGTAGTGCCACACAGGTGGGCCAAACGCAACAATCTGTGTCATCACGCATATTCAATATTAGTATTGTCTTGTCCAGCAGCTACAAAATATAGAGGTGGGCTGGACATAGTAGAAATGGGCAGTCAGCTAAACCTCTGGTTGGCAAAACCACTACCATCCAATATGGGGAGAACCCTGCCACCCACAGACGCCTTCCCTGGTAGCGGACAATTTGTGCATTACGGTTGGAAACTGGTTGGCGTTAATGAGGCCATTTATACGCATATCAAACTACCTGATAGACAACGCTAGTGTGCCAGCGTTTTCTCATGAGCAGCTACAAGAGGTAGCAATGCAGTTGCTCGCATTCAAACGGAAATGTGGGAACCAGAGTTTGGCCTTCTCGGTGGCTTCGAGGCAGAATGCTTAAATCTCGGCCAGAGTCAAACAGGCTCCGAGGAAGTCAGGCTCTGAGGCAGAATTCTTGAAGTTTGAGTCTTGGCCAGAGTGCTTCAATTTTGGTGGAGACTACTGTATTTTCCGGTGTATAAGACACACCTTTTTTCCAAAATTTTCGGCGGTGCGTCTTATACAACGGTACGTCTTATATATTAATTTTTACTTCGAAACTTGCGAAAAGTGGAGGGTGCGTCCTATACAACGATGAGTCTTACACACCAGAAAATACGGTGATTGCAGAGAACGTGCTGTGCAACAGGTTGTAGTAAGGATGTGAAGAAATTCCCATGAGGTCTGAATTTTTAACTCTTTGCTAGGGTGTGCCGATAGTTGGTTTAGCTTGTAAACACCCCTCCCCCCCCCCCCCCCCCCCCCCCCCCCCCAAGTACTTTCCAATCAACCAACAAGCAGAAAGGAGGAAACTCGCTTCCTCAATTCCTCCTTTCCATTTGAGAAAGAGGAAGACCCTCATTTTAGCAGGGGGTAGCTCCCGGGGGGAAGGAGGAGCAAAGAATGCAAGAGGGAATGAGGAGAAGGAAACTGGGAACCGGTTTTCTTCCCGGCAGAAGACGATTCTGTAGGTCGGCCATTAGGAAGCACCAAAAACATGCGCAACAAAGTGTCTGATGAGTTGTAAAACGTGTCAAAAAGGCGGCTAAATCCGACGAGACTCGAGTTCACCGTGGCAATGCGTGAATGCATTAGGTGCGTGACTTTTTCCTTGTATGTTTGGGAATGTGACAGGCAACCAGGTGCTGTTACTGAAGCAACTAAAGTGTAAAAAAAAATTGTCTATTAATTCACCTTCTCTCTATCTTTCCCTTTTGAATAGTGCAATTAAGCACTATGTAAAGGCCCACATACAACCTCCGTTGTCTGCAGGGAAGATAATCCTCTTGGCGCTCCCCTCTCCTAAGCTGTGAGGGAAGGCAAGTTGGGCTAAGGTAAAAAGTTGAGAATATAGGAAAGGAGAAAGGAAAAAGTGGAAAGCACACGTGTTTGTTGGCCTTTAAGAGAACCAGAAAAAAATTATGTTTCCAAATATTCTACATAGGTAATGCTTTGATTTAGAACCTGATTGTCGTGTATCGTGTATATAGTGAAAGAAGACAATAAAGTGAGGCTCGAGGACAGGATTGCAGAGGTTGAGGCAACGCCTCCTGTACTAAGATGCCTGTCATGAGAGGGGCTCGCGTCCTGCCGTGCCCTCTCCCTCTTTTCTCCTCCCCTTCACCGAAACAACCGCGAGGGGCGCTGCCAACTGACACTATCGCTCGCGGCCGCGAGAGCGCGGGAGATTTGACGTCTGCTATTGTGATACCAGTAGGGGTGTGTGAATAGTACATCAAATCGAATAGCGCAGTGCCATCCCTGGCGTTAACAGCGCAAAGAGAGCCGGTTGCATCGGCTTTCCTTTGCACCGCAAAGGCTATGAATGACGTGGTGTTGTACAGGCGGAACATCGCACCCGCAAAACAGTTACTCAAGTCCACGCACACAAAAGAAAGACAAACTTACGCAGCGCTGGGCTCGATCACTCTTTGGTATATTTACACTTCCGTCTTCGTCTTCTTTTGGTATTATGGACTAGGGCCATTGAGAATAATTGTTTTTTTTTTTCTTCAATAGGATGCTAAACCGTAAACCAAAAACTGAAATTAAAATTAATGTTAAAATGAATGAAATTAGCACTCAGTTGCGAGCGGCCGGCCGCGCGCCAGCGCGAGTTGATGATAATGTTGATGATGTAGCTGTTCCCTTTGAATCGGGCGATACCGAACCATGCTCGTGCCTAGCCAAAAAAATAGGGTCGGAGGCGAGCGCCACCTCGTGGCGTTTGGCTACAATACGATGGCAGACCGGCCGCAACGGGAGAGCGAGCCACCTGACAGGCATCTTAGTACAGGAGGCGTTGGTTGAGGCTGCCGTGATCAAACCAGAACGCTTGGTAGTCTTTATGCTCGTTCGTCCAATTTATAAGGTCCGCTCACGGTACGCGACATCCATCGGGAAATGTCACTGAGCAGCATCACATTGGAGGTGTTGCTACATTGTAATCCAGGAAAACTATTAGCATTTTATTGGGTTCGGTAGACGACACACAAATAAACGTGTCAGGCATATAGTGCTATTAAAATTAACTACAGTGCAATTCACTTATAACAATATCACATATAACAATGTACTGCTTATAATTCTAGAGTTTCTAGACTAGAAATGCTGAGTTTCTAGTCTAGATACAACGATAATCGGTTAAAACGATTCAACTTTCGCGTTTTCTCATTACCATTATAAGTGGATTGCACTGTACTTTACTTCGCTGGCAGCTTTTGCAGAGCTCAGGTGTGAGCTGTTGAGTGTGCAGTCTAAACTTTATTCAGGTTTAAGAAATAATAGGCAGCTAAAACTAGGGACTGCGCAAGCACATCTTTATGTCACGGAGGCATGAAATATGTTTTTGTGTCGTTGCTCGCTTTGTGTCTGTATTTATTCTTTTATCCGACTTTTGCCAAAACGCCAATTAGTTCATTCAGATTTCTTGCATCTTCTTTCACACACACACACACAACTGGGCATTTGTGATCGTGTCTCCCCACAATGCACAGGCATCCATTTCCCTGCAGGGCATGAACAAACCAGTCTGATCAAGGGAAGGGGCCCACGTAACATTTGTGGTCAAATGAAGCCATCTGCATTAGGAAACTGAACATAACTGCTTCATAAATAATTGCCAAAGTGTAAAAAGTGAAAATTATTGCATGGAGGCAGCAGGAAGTTGCATAGGCTCTTGAGGTGTACAAACGTAAAATAACGAGCATGCTCCCATGTCACAATAAGTGCCCGTCGTCAACTTTTGAAACGTTTGAAAGGGATGCAGCGGACATATCAAGCGCCCACCCCAGACTTCTGGGCCCACCTGGCTATCTAAGGCTCTAAGGCTAACCGAGATGCTCCCGCGCATCTGCCGCTTCTCCGAACGCACTGGTGCATAGTGACGAAACTGACGCGCACGCGCCGGTGCCAAGCGGTGAAGCCGGCCCTATCTCGTGCTTCTGGGTTTTTGTTTTCGTACCGAGCAACCACCCATCCTCGAGGTTTTTTCTAGATCACTTCCAAATTTTGGTTCAGCTCTTGTTCGGTATTTTACGGCATCTTTTTTTTTTTTTTTTGGCATATATAAATGACATAGTTAATATACCGCGAACCTCCGATATTATCCTGTACGCGGACGACACCAACGTTTTCTTTTCCGGGTCAAATCTCGATGAAATTGAACAGTGTGCAAATTGCTGGCTTAATGAGCTATCTCAGTGGTTGCGGTCTAACCAACTAGAGTTAAACACAGCGAAGACAAAATATGTTATATTCAGGTCCAAAAATAAACTTGTTCAGCGTAAGTTGAATGTTACATTTTTAAACTCTACGATAGAAAGCACTTCGGCTCATAAGTTCCTTGGGGTTTGGTTTGAGGAGTTTTTAAGTTGGACGAACCATGTAAATAAAATTTGATGTGATATATCACGTTCAATTGGTATACTGAATAAAGTCAGACACTTGTTACCAAACTGGCTTAAACTGCAGCTTTACTATACTCTTGTGTACTCCCGCCTACAGTATTGTCTTTTAGTTTGGGGAACCACGACAAAAACAAACATTGAAAAAGTTTTTCTTTTACAAAAGAAGGCCGTTA